CTTTCTCGCAACCACTTCCGTGTCTTTTATGTCCAGGATGTACTAAAAAGTTATGCAAGATTTTTGTCTGCCTCGTCTTCGAACTTGACTTTGCAGTGGAGTTCAAGAAAGCTGAACTCTGTTTATATCTGTCGTACAACGGAGCAGGTAGAGGTGGAAAGAATATCCAAAAAGATGAGATGAATCCTGGATTGCTATGAATCTTCACGGTTTGGATCTTATTTGACACAATAATTTGCACAATGTGGTTGTTTTGCACAAAAACTGTTTTCAGCACAGAAAAGGTAGCAGTTAGGGACATTTCCATGCAAAATTTGCATGCAAACAGGGGTTTTTTCTCTCCCTGTACTGGAATCAGTTCTTTCTGCACAGAAAATAATATTTTCATGCATAAATATGATTTTTATGTGCCAAAAAAGCTGTTCCATGGGCAAAAAATTACTACTTTCTGTACAAAGCAACTACACACGAATTTTGCGCAGAAGAGGTCCCCAACTGCGAATTGGCTTTGAAAACTGCATGGTTTTCAAGAACATTTCTCAAATTACTCACTGCTTCTTTTCAAAAGAAAATCAGTGATGAATTACAACCCTAGGAACATGGTCCTGGGAATCCCAGACTTCTTTTGCCATTTTAATGCAGAAAGTTTCTAGTCCTCATGACAAGAAGATCACTTTCAAAAGACAACTGAAGTGTTAAGAGAGAACTGAACACAGTGAGAAGGCAAAGGCTTTCCAAAATGCCTTGCTCCTTTCTATAAGAATCTGAACTAACTATGCAAAATACAATAATTCAGATTTTCATTACAGTCCTCTGGATATATACAGAGAAGCAGTACAGATCAATGGGACTTTCTCCCAAGTAAGCACATTTTGAATTATGGCTGTATTAAATTTAACCCAAAGGGGAAAAGTGGGAGGAGGAGAGAGAAACTGGGACATTTTAAATGCTGCAGAGAATGTGAGAAGACAGAGGATTAATCGGGACAGCTGGTGGGTGTGTATTTAAAACCGTTTTCCTCCAAAGAAAGTCTACATCTCACCCTTTAGATTACATGGGTCATTTGGTAAAACTGGTTACTATATAAGTACCCAGCATAAAGTGGGTACTCAGTGTTACTACAGGCTGTATTTACCCTGCAGAAACAATGTACTTGGACACCACTTTAACTGCCATGGTTCAGGTGCTATGAAATTCTGGGGTTTGTAGTTTTGTGAGATGTTTAGCCTCCTCTATCAGAGAGCTCTAGTGCCACAACAAACTAGAAATCCCAGGATTCAATAGCACTGAGCCATGACAGCAAAAGTGATGTCAAACTGGATTATTTCAGCAGTGTAGATGAAGCCTCCAGACAAGACAAGACATTTGGGTATTAGCAAATAGGGGATTGAAAAGTTGAAGGACAGCTCATGCGCTGCTACTTGACTCTCACTGTGGAGCTCACTTAGGAGTGCAGCAGAAGTTACAATCTCTTCAATCAGCTGACAAGATTGATGGAACCTCAGAAAAGTTGCACAAAGTTTGGGGGGGAGAGTGGCGAGAGAAAAATTTGAAGTATTTGGACTCCTAAGGTTTAAAAGCAGGATGTCTTCTCCAGCTCAAAGTCAACATTACTTGGAATCTTAGAGCAAGAAACTCTTTGCTCCCAAGGTAAGTTTGCTATTTTCTTTCTTCTGCAAAACTGGAAGAAATCAGGATTTAACCTCCCACCTCAGATTAAGAGCCTGTACAGACCGGCCAAAAGGGCTGGCCTGGGGGTGGCATCGGGGCATGGTGACCACACGCTGGCCACACCAACTTTGCCCTAATGCCGCCGTCACACCGCGCACCCCACCGCATGGCGGGCGGCATCAGGGCACTCCCTTGGCACAGCATACAGACATGCTGTGCCAAAGGAGCACAGAAAAGCCACCGTGGTGGCGGCAAAGGCTGTTTTTTGCTACTCCAAAAAGGAGCAGCAAAGTGCCAGACCAAGGTAGCAGCGTACGGTTACCACGGCACCGATCTGGCGCACCCCAACGCATGGAGCCACCCCTTGGGGCCGTCTATAGAGCCCCTAAACTAATCTAAGATAGTGGTTCCCAAACTTTGGTCCTCCATGTGTTCTGGACTTCAGTTCTCAGAGGCGCCAACCAGCTTGGCCAACAGTAAAGAATTCTGGGAGCTTAGGTCCAAAACATCTGGAAGATCTAAATTTGGCAACTACTGGTCTAAGTTCTTTCAGCTACGTTACATAATCACACAAGATGTTATGACTTTCTGGGTAGATGACTGTGTATCATGGGGTAATAAACATCAACACCTTGTAATTATTGATGGTGAGAGTTGTGTGGTAGAGTGGTCAGAACATTAGACCAGGATGAAACGAGGTTCAAACCTTTGCTTGGCCAAGTCACTCACTGGCTGACATTGAGCCAGTTGCTAACTTTCAACTTCATCTATGTCACTTGGCTCTATACTAGCTGAGTTGGAGATGTGCCCAAAGCCAAGTTTACCAAAAGTGAAGAATTTGCATCCTTGTGTCCCACTTGGAGATGACTCACAAAAACTGGACACTCAGGACCAGACCATGAGATCTGGTAACCTTATGAGCATAACACTTCTGGTCTAATATGGGTGGGTTCTTTCAGACAATGGGGGATTCCTACCACCACTTGTTCCAACTCTGGAAGACAAGATGGTATTATATCCGAAGCTATACCACTGTTCAGTATTGTTTGTTTGCTTGCAAAACACTTTTGAGATTATACTCAAAGACATATGCATCCTTATGGCTGTAGGTTGCCTACCCCCTTGTAGACCAACTTTGTTGTCATGTGCCTTCAAGTCATTTCCAACTTATGGCAACCCAAAGGCAAACCTAGTTTTCTTGGCAAGGTTTGTGATCTCCTACATTTTAGGGCTTTCCTTGGCAGAAAGAATGAAACTTCCATGACATTTTCATTTTTTCCAGAGACAGTTAAAGGAAACAGTGCCCTAAGAAGAGGCAGGGTGTGCATCTTCATTTTCCGAAGAAGACACACAGGGCTTGTTTATCGACAAAAGTTGGAACGCATACAAGAAAATAGCTAAACTTCGTGCTGTGGTAAAGCACAACTTGACTAGAAACAGGTTTTTACGGTAATTTTGTGGTTGTAACAGCTATTTTTTCAAAAAGACCATACTTCTGTCGGAGAGCCCTTTCAGTTTAATTGAAGACACTATCAAGAATAAAATGCACTTTCTTTCTTTAAATAAAAACAGCATGGGGGGAAGACATTCAAAGCTAAATAATCAGATGCAATTTGTGTTCCTAAGCTAGAACGATATGTCTATTTCTCCCCCCTTCTGCTTCTTCTTCTTCTTCTCTTTCTCTCCCCCCACTTCACAAAAGCCCTCTGTGCTGGATCTGTTTGGAGGTTGCTTGAATCTCTCCTCAAATAATGAACACAGCGAGAGCTGTGGATAGCTTGAAAAATACATCAGGAAAGAGAAAACACATGGCCCAAAGTGTGGTATAAAAGTCATATTTCATGCATGACTTTGGAGAACGTTAATAAGGATTAGAACCATACTTCTCCAGAGCTACAATCAGTCAAGGCCCCATAATTAATTTTTTTTCACTTTAGATCTCAAATCTTTCTTGGTTAAGGGGAGGAGATGGGTGATGGGTGGAGGAACATGACAAAGGTTTATGCTGTGGTGAATGGCAAGAAGAGATCAATCTTTCAACCTTCCTTGGACCTTCAGAACCTAGAGTCATCTGGTTGGGAGTTAGGTTTGGAAGGAAAAGAAAAACATGTTGAGACATACACAACACATCTCCAAAGAATTAAGAAAAATAACTTACAGAATTTGCTAAGGAAGGAAGTGATGTCGCTTAAATGGCTTTATGAGTTGGATCATTCAGGTCTACCCATAGGTTTGGTGGCAGTTGTGTGCCTTCAAGTTGTTTCTGGCTTAATGAACTTAATGTGAAGCTATCATGGGGTTTTCTGAGATTGAAAAAGTGGAAGGGCAGAGACTTAATCAGGATTGTGCCTGCCAACTGAGGACAGTTGGAAGGTATAGCATCCCATCCACCAAGCTACATGCACACCAAGATGGTTCTTTGTGGAGGGGCAAAATCTGTGCAATTCTTCCTATTCCTCAAGAAACAGGAACAATCACATTAAACCTGTCTGCATAGAGATTCCACATCATGCTCCACGTCAATTGGAAGGATTGAAGGCCATGGCCACCTTTTGCCCTCTATCAAAGACCATGCTGAGCCCGCAAACCTACAAGCCATTTCCACTTCATTCTTCCCCCTTCCTAGATTGGTCAATAAATATGATTAACATAACACATCCCTAAAATGCACATGTAAGCAGAGCAACAGGAGACATATGGAGGACAGATGTGGCTCACTTTTTGAGATGACCCATCAAAATCAGCTGATTGCCAGAAATGGTATTTGTATGTATGTTAGGTGGGGAGTGCTGAAGAGCAATAGGCCATCAAGGTTTTAAAAAGCAGAGCACACCCGTGTCTCATTTGCTGGAATTTGAAGGACGCTTGTGGGCTGCAAATTTCTGCTACGGGAGTGAGCTTGTTTTGAAACATAGGAGCATCCCCAGTCTTCACCCTGGATGCAAAGCCTTGGATTCTTCCATTTGTGAATATGCTTTATGCTTTTGGTTCTTAACTATTTTTTCAGAATCATAAAGTTGGAAATAAGGATGCCAGAAGCCAGGGCCACACTTAGGGGTCCCAAGGACCTCTCACAACCCATGGGTTGTACTTTGGCCATCCTGTTTTAGAAACAGAATTTACGTATCCAAAAGATGGCAAAATGGCCAAGGGAATGTGAGAGGAGATCTAGATATGAATGATTTTCAGTGTCTCACTTTCTGCCATGCTAGACTTTTGGGGACTGAAAAAAAAATCATTGGGAAGGCACAATTCTTATCAAGGGAAAAATATGCTCATTTCATGACCCCTTATCTATTCGTCTAAAGGGGATAGTGTGACTTCTGAGGACCAGTGTAGCATAATGGTTTGAGCATTAGACTGGGAATCTAGGAAGCCAGGGTTTGAATCCCAGCTCAACCATGGTAACCCACTAGGTGACCATAGGCAAGTCACACACTCTCAGCCTCAGAAGATAGCAATGGTCTCTCTGAAGAAACTTGCTATGATACGTTCACCTTAGGGTTGTCCTAAGTCAGAAATGACT